GGGAAAATTAAACCTGAAATAAAATTTATATACACAAGAGATGCTCTTGGTTAGAGCCATTCCTTTGTTGTGGTGATTTTTTTCCCCCAAAAAGGTCCCTGTTCTTCGTGTGCTGGGGGTGAAGCTGCACACATCCTGCAGAGCTTTCCCCCAGCTCTCTGTGGATTCAGCTACTCCGTGTCAAAGTTGTTACTGAAAACCCACTGAGGAGATAAGAAGTTCATGATACCCACTCAGCCTTTTCATTTGATTGTGGAATGAGGGAAAATATAAATCTTCAGAGCAAACAGACTTGTTTTACATGGTGAGGCTGCCTGGGAGCTGCTGGAGGGAGTATTTCAATGTGATATTTAGATTGAATTGCAAAAAGAGACAGAGCTCATTATTTCTAGACACACTGTCACTCTCCCAGGCACAAAAAAAAACCCCACGATTTTATCTGGATGACACAAACACCTTTTTGGGGTTTAATTTTTTGTTTTAGATGTAAACATCTTGGTGTCACCTCTAATGCTGCAGAGCCAAGAGAAAGGAGTTAAATATTTATCACCAAAATACAACAGAAAGAGGTAGAGGAGGTGGAATTGGCAAAGAACATTTTACATCAGTACAGAGTTGATCCTCTCCTTGCAGAAATTCCCAATGAGTGACCAGAGAAGGGTGCTGGCTGAGGGCCTGACACGTGGCAAACACCACTGGGGGCTCAGGGACACTCAGAGCAGGACACGAGCAGCTCTCTGCTGCTGCTCCACCTCACAACTTCTTCAGGCAACTCAACAGTTCCTCTTTGTCCATGTGGTATCTGCTCTTCTTCCACTCTTCCCTCAGCTGCTGTAGAGCTGCTCCAATGTCTTTGCCAGAGGACATGCCCATTTTCCTTAAATCATGGCCACTAACAGGGAAGGAAGGAACAGTCCACTGCTGCATTGCCTGTAAAAGGTGTTCTTCTCCTTGGTACTTCAGGAGCTCACAGATCTTGGAGTTTGTATTGGCTTCCCTTGACTAGAAGGAAGAAGAAAAGGCAGAAGATTTACCACAAACCCTCAGGCAGCAGCTCAAGCTGTGCCTGACATTGTCTCATTCCCACTAGACAACAAAGAACCACAGAGGGGTTTGGGTTGGGAGGGACCTTAAAGATCACCCAGTTCCAACCTCCTGCCACGGGCAGGGACACCTCCTAAGAGACCACATGGCTCCAAGCCCCATCCAACCTGGCCTTGAGCACCTCCAGGGATGGAGCATCCACAGCTTCCCTGGGCAACCTGGGCCAGGGTCTCCCCACCCTCACTGTGAAGAGCTTCTGGACAAGTTGTCTCTACAAAAGTGAGGATCACTCCTGCCTCAAGTCTTAACTTGGAGGCTGTGGGAGATCCTTGGAGCCTTCCTGAATTCCAGAGGAGCTCAGGTTCAGACACAAGCTCCAGTCTCCTGGGGTCCAGGTCCCATGTCATGCTTTAAAGAGAGATCAGCTGGGACCACCACCCATCAGGTATGTCCACAAGGTTTCAGATGCCTGAACAGGACATTTGTCAGCCTGACTGAAAGGGAGGCTTTTAAATCCAGCCCAAAACCTGCACAAGGTGCTCACAACTGCTCAGATACAGAGGGGTTGGTTGTTTGAAGTGATTTCTACAAAATTCATTTAAAGCCTCAGTAGTTTGGATGGGAAAGCAAAAAAGCTTTTGAAGCCATGGGGAAACATCTGCCATTTATCATCCTGCACAACTAAACTCTACTCATGGAGAAAAATCTTTTTGTGGCAGTTTCTGCTTGATGGCACAGACTTCTCAGGGCTTTTGCAATAGCTCTGGGTGATTTCTGGTCCCCCATCCAGAGTGAAAAATAAAAAAACCAAGGAGAAAACCAATCCAACCAAGCCCACCACAGTCAACTGGAAGTGGAATCAGAATGACATTCCTCCAGCTGCTGTGATAACATTACACTGGGAACCATCCAAAGCTGGCCAAGAGTTTTTGTCAGTACATCCCATCTTTCTGCTGAAAGATATCACAGACTTTAAAACCCTGCCAAAAATTTGCCTGAGATGAATAAACCAGCCAATGTAATGGCTCTTCCTTAACTCAAGGCCCTTTCTTCCCATCTGCCACCTCTGCTAGTTTGTAAAACTGGAAATCCAACGTGTCCTGTGAAGAACAAACTGAAGCAGTATGAAATCCACTCACATCCATTATGAAGTCCTGGTAGGGCCTAAGTGGCTCTGGACCCACAGCTTTGGTGAGCTCTTGCCGGTGCTTCACTAAAAAAAGGCCAAGGTTTTTTTCTTCTTTTGAGATTTTCAGCCTCAGATCGAGGTTTGTGACATCATCCTTCACCCTGAACAATGATGTCAGAACAGTCATTGGTTTTGGAGACAGATTGTGAATGTTTTTAGTGACTCTGTCAAACTCCTCTAAATTTCCATCAAGCGGGAGTCCTGAAGGGGATACACACACACAAAAAAGTGCAAGAAAGTGTTAATAAGAAATGTGGATGTTTCTGGGTAAACCCAGTTTTTAATCTGCCTTTGCCATGCTGCAGTTATTTGTGTATGCCCTAGGAAATCAATCCTCATTTCACCTTACCTATGTATTGGGCAATATCCAGCTCATACATTAGTCGAACCAAGTGATTCACGTGGTTTCCTTGAAGAATTTTTTTCAGTTCCACCCAAATCCTTTCTCCTGATATTCCAGCCAAACCTTTGGCATTTTCTCTAATTGCCTGCAGGGTGCTAGGTTCATGATCTCCAGGATTTTCTGCAATTCTTCCATAAAACCTGCCCAAATAAAACCCCTGGACGTTAGGCTGAGAACGACGACTCCATTTGTAACTGCTACTCACAATCAGTGTCATGACAGTGGTAAATATTTAATTAACACTACTAGAGGAAACTTAACAATATGCCAGTTCCAACTCTTTTTACATCACTGATCTCTTTTTGCATGTTTCTGAAACCTCCTACAATGCTTATTTCATTTATCTAATAAAGGCCAAACCTAGTACCTGAAATATCTTAGGATTCGTAAATAATCCTCTTGGATTCTCTCACTTGCCTTTCCTACAAATCTAATTTTCTTGTTTTTCAAGTCTTCATATCCATTAAAAAAATCATACAGCATCCCATCCAAACCTAGAAAAAAGGGAAAAAAACAGAATATGAGTTTACAAATGTGGTTGGCACAGTTAAACACTCTCACTTGAAAATATAGAAGATAAGTCGTGTGATTTGACCTGCTCTGTCAGATCACCACAGATATTTGTACAGACCTTTCAGTGCAAAACCAAAATTGAAACAGACTCAGAGACTTCACCTGAAAAGCAGCATCTCCCCTAAATATTTGCTTGGGAAAGGATTTACCTAAAAACATGGAGTTGACAGTCAGATCCCTCCTTTCAGCATCCTTCTCCCAGTCCGTGGTGAACTCCACCTCTGCGTGTCGTCCGTCGGTGACAACATCTATTCTGAGAGTAGTGATCTCAAAATTCTGTTCATGGAGCTGAAAATTCCACAGATATTAAGTCAGCAAAAAGTCATGAACAGAAATCTAAAAGCTGTATATTTTTTCAGCCTCACATTTATATGCAGTTAGGGCTCAAGCTGGATACATGCAAACCAACCATGTTTTCATCCAGAGCAGACAAACAAGGCAGATGAACAACCCTAAAATAACCCCTGCATTTTCTAGAGGGCCTGCAGAAATCTTCCTGCAGAAGATGGAATGAGAGGCAGAGGAATGAGTCAGTTAGAGGAAGCAAGATTTGGGAAAGCAGGAGGGAACACTGGGATCAACTTCCCCAAATTATCTGAAGATTTAGGGTAGATTTGTAGCCTATACTATCTTCTCTAGTGATGGCACAGCAGCACGAATGGTTTCTGCAGAAGTAACATGCATTAAACATGGCAATTCACTGAACTCTACAAACAAAAAGTAATCACCCCATACTTCAAACTAAGGTCTCATTTAAACTTGAACTGTGATACCTTAAAAAAGGAGCATGCTACCAGTTTTCCATTGGTTACACTGCACATTCAGAGAGTTAAACAAGATCCAAGTCAAAGCAGAAACCAACCCTGGCAGTGATGGTGCCATGCTTTTCTCCTTTGTTATTGATCAGACGAACCCCAGCAGACGTGAACATTTCCTTCATCTCTGTGGGTGTAGCTGTGGTGGCAAAGTCTATATCTTGTGGTGTCATTCCACTGAGCAAATCCCTCACAGCACCTCCTGCTATTCTCAGCTCGTAGTTCTTCTTCTCGAACAATTCTGGGGAGGGAAGGAAAACCATAAAACACTCTCTGAAATAAAAACCTCTGTCAGCCACCACTTCTCTCTTCATAAATGATGATGACAGACGTGGGAATATACACTCAAATATATAGTAAGCAGCAAGTATTTATGTACCTTACAGCTTCATGCAAAATCCACAAATACACGGCTGAGCACTTATATGTGTTTTCTGTTGTTTCTGATCTATTTTTCGAGGATATTTCTGACAGCAATCTGTTGTTCCAATGTATTTTTCTAGGGCCTTTCTGGCAGCAACCTGTTAATATTTAGGTTGAAACCGAGGGGCTCTGGGCTGTGGAACATTTCTAGCAGTCAGCAGCCGAGCAGAACTGAGTTTACCCATTCGGAATTTATCCCAATTCTTTTTTCCTGCTTTTTTTTCAGGATCAATCCTCCACGCCAGCTGAGCAACACCCCACTCCGGGTCGCTTCAAAACCACAGCGGATGGCAGGGAAGAGCAGCGCACACCTCCCAGACCATCATAGCTCCCCAGGACGGGGTTTTTTGGGGGTTCTCCACGGCTCCCCATCCCCTACTCCCCCGCCACGCTGCGAAGCCCCGGGGTGAAAAGCGCCTGGAACTGAGGGGTTTGGAGCTTCATGGCGCCCGGCCCTCGAGGCCGCAGCCGGAGCGGCGGGAACAGCCGCAGCCCGGCCCTGCAGGGCAGAAGCGACAGCTCAGCCCACATCTGAGGGGAACCAGCGACCGCCAAGACGCCTCAACCCCTCATGGATCCCCGGGTTCCTCCCTCTTGCCCCTCACTCACTCGCCCGCCCCGT